AATTCGGTTTAGGAAGAAGAAATCTCAGGGTGTCTGGGCGTTTGAGGGTTAAAGGTGACATTGCACGGAGGCGCTCTGCCCTGCACCTGCCCTGGCAGAGGCCGAGGCCCAGGGAGCCAAGGAGGCAGGCAGGCCAGCCCTGGGGGCTCTCAGGGACGAGCTGCAGTTGGCACCTGGAGCACCCGGCCCTCAGGGCAGCCTGGGGCCAACCTCCTGGGTGCTCGGTGGCAGACACACACCAGGCTGGCACCTCCCTCGCCTGGCCCGAGCTGCCGGGGAGTTGCCCTAAAAGGGAGGGAATGCCCCTACCTCTGCTTGGGCCCCACCCTGGCCAGGCCAGGGACAAAAGCTCCGCCTACTCCCCAGGCCCCCTGGTTTGGGCTGGCTCTAACAGTGCGGACACCCCAGCACCAGCCAGGAGGCAGTGCGGGGTGATGAGGAGCGGGATTTGCAAAACGAATCCAGCCTCCTCTCCCTTCTCTGTGCCCCCAAGCGACAGTCCTTGAGTTCTGAGCTGCGGACAGGCTCGGAGCGGCCTCCGACAGGCGTCCCCACTGGCTGACCAGCCAGGAGATCCTGCTGGAAGGGCGCCGTGCCGTGGTGGAGAGGGACGGACAGCTGCAGGCCGGGCCCCCATCCGCAAGATGGGACGGCAGCAGCAGTGACCCTGTAGGTCATGCTGAAAAGGGCCCGGCCAGGGGCAAGGCTTGCACAAGCTCCTCTCCTTCCGCTGCACAGGAGGCATCTGCAGCCTCTGCTGGGAGCGGGCGGAGCTGGGAACAGATGTGCTGCCGCCTGTCAGGACCACTCCCGAGCACTGCCAGTGCCTGTGCCACGTCCGGGCATGGGGACAGTGGGCAGGTCCCGGGAGAGCCGGCTGGCCCCCGGCGGGGAAGGCAGAGCAAGACCGCAGAGGGCCACCACTCGTGCTGGGCTACCAGCTCACAGGCCACCAGTCATGTCCTGGCGCACGAGCACAGCACCCCAGGGGTGGGCCTCTCCTGAGAAAGGATTAACTCAGAGGCGCGCGGCTGGTGTATAAATACTGAGGCGTGCCTGTCTCAGACACCCGCAGGGGGCAACATCTGCCGGCTACAACTAAACATCTGCCGGCTGAGGGGCGGCTGGGGCTGGTGCGGGAACGCTGGCCCAGGGCACAGCGATGGTGGCTCGGAAGGTGGTCAGACACAGCAGGTGGGCCCCGTGTTCCCCGCAGAGAACAGGGGCAGAGCCCAGGCTGGCGCCCGGCACCTGTCCCACCACACGCTCTGTCCACTCATTCTCCCCGCCCTCAGCCTCACTCCCCGGGCCAGGGGCGGCCTGCCCCGCCTCGCTGTCACCTCAGCCATGATTAAATACTTGTTCAGGGTCCTGTTTGCTGTCTGTCTGTCTCCCCCGATGGCAGGTCAGGGGCCACGCCCAGCTAGGCCACCACTGCTCGCAGCTTGTGGGTCCACGTGTGCCCAAGGAGCGTGAAGAAGTGGAGACCACGTGAGCAGACCCCTTACCATGCTGGGGTGCCCTCTGTGCCCTGCCCACCCCAGAACCAATACCGACCCCCACAGACCCCCCTGCCTTGACCACCCCAGGGGTGGCCCCTCGCTACCAGCACAGCAGCTGACACGCGGACACTACCAGCTCTCGAGCCCTTGGGAGCTGGAGCCAGGGCTGTCCTGAGCCCCAGAAGGGGACCTGGGGGGGTGAACCCCACAGCGAGGAGGGGCGGGAGCATGACGGCCCCGTCCACGCGCCCCGCACAGTCAAGGCCTTCTCGGTGGCATCACTCCTAACAGCAACAAATCAGAAACAAGGCCAATGTCCTTCGACGGGGGACTGGAAAAACCAACCCCAGGGGCTCCACCCAATGGACAATGACACAGGACTTGGAAGGAATGAGAAAACGCACAGGACGGAAAGAGGCAGAAAACACGGCAGGGGCTGCAGGCAGTTGTCCACAGGCTATGAACTTCATCTCTAATATTTAATTCCTTTGTTTCCGAAGCAAGAGCTCGCCACGTAGGAGCTGCTAGTGGTTCTTCTGGAGGGCAAGGGTGGAGACGGGGTCGCCAGTGTGGTGCTCCACGCTTTCCTGCACAGAGGATGCTGGTCAAAAGACCCTTGACGGTCACTCAGGCCAACCACTCCCTTGGCAGGTGGGGAAACTGAGGCCAGAAAGGAGAAGGGACTCCTGAGTGTCCTTATGCCATAGGGGTGCACCTTAGAACATTCCAGATTTCACCAGTTCAAAGAGAGCTCTGCCCAACCCTTGTCCAGGCCGAAGCCTGGGGCAGCAGGCCATTTGGCCACCTGAGGGGGTATGAGAAGGTCCTCTGAACAGGCCAGGCCAGCGCAGAGAGAGCCCTGGGTACAGGGCGCCAGCACCTGAGGGGCAGCCAGCCTTTGGGGACAGGCCTGTCTGCTTGCCCCCAAGGCCCCCACCCCCACAAATCTCTTCCCAGCACGCCCGGCGCCCGGTGATGCCAGCGACGTCACTGCCAATAACCTAGATTTTAACCAAGAAATCACACACCCCCTCCCTGCCCCACTTATGGGCTCACGGAGGAGAAAACCCAGACTGTAGATCCTGGGTCAGCAGGAGGAGGCCGGCCACACCCTGCGCCCCACCCACTGCCCCTCCAGTCTCCCAGCTTCCCACCACCCAGTCCTACCTCCCACATCCCCAGGGGAGACGGGGTCAAGGGGCCGTGATGGCCGCAGGACTCCCTCCTGTCACCCAAGGCGGGGTGGCCCCTTCAGGCCCACAGCCTTGGGCCGGGTCTGCACCCCTGGCCTCAGCAGGACTCAGCATCTCATCTGAGTTCTGGGGCCAGGGAGCTGGTGAGGTCAGTCATGGTCCCGGCAGCGGGGCAGCTTGCCTCCCAGCCCCAACTCTGGCCTTTCCATGGCCACTGTCCCATTGGCTCCTTGGAAAACCCAGGGATACAAGTGGGCCCCACTGTCCAGGCGAGAAGAGGGCGCCAGGCTCGTCCAGCGGGAGGGGCAGGTGCATTCAGATGGGCTACCGTGTTCCACCAGCACTCAGCAATCCCAACACCTGTCCTGTTTCTCACCATCCTGAACACGCCAAGGCTCGAGGCCACCCTGGCTGGGCGGGGCTGCGCAGGGAGGACCCTAAGGAGACGACCGGCAGCCGGAGTCCTCTCCTGGTTCTGCAGTGCACTGCCATGGGCCACTGGTGGGCAGCCCCCACCCCTGGGGGGTCCACCCCAGGGGAACACCCCTGACTCCTCCAGAGCCCGGTCCAGCTGCTGGCATGAGGGTAGTCCTCAAGGACTGTGGGGGTCTGCCCTAAGCCCACGTGCCCTGCGGTCCTGGGGAAGGGGTTTGGGAGCCGCCCCAGCTCCCTCTGGCCCGGTCTGGGGCTCCACGTAGCGCTTCCCCCAACTCCCTGGTGGCTGTCACCAGGGGGCAGAGGAACATGTACATGGGCGGGGTTCCTGAAGGTCCCTGCATGCCAGGAGCCCCGTAGGCCCTCTGGAGGGCTGGGCCACAGCTTGCAGGTTTCTTCCTATGGGGAACACCCCGCCCTACCCTCTACCACTGAAAGGAGAAACCAAATCCAGATCCAGGTGGTCTGCACTAGCATCTCGTGGAATTCATGCAAACACGACAATAGGTATTTAAATGAAGTAATGAGTTCTAGGGAAAAACCATCACCCACAGCCCCTAGGGGTGGGGGCACCCAGGGCAGTCCTCCCCCGCAGCTCTGAGAGGGAACCGAGCTGGCCAGACCAGAGGCCGAGACCCAGCTGTCCAGTCCTCGGCCGCTCTGGGGCCTGGCTGTCCAGGGCCTGAGCTGGTGGGCATTCTTGGCCCCCTCTGCTCCTGCCCCCTGCTCTGATGGACGAGCACCTGCCTGGAGGTCGAGGAGCAGACCGAGGGGGGAGAGGTGGGGCGGAGCGTCTATCCCATCAGAGCACGAGGACACGGGGGGACAGAGGAGAGGACAGAGTCCCCACACTGCCCCTCGGGGCCCCAGCCCTGGGACGTCACTGCCTGCTGGCACCGTGTCTGTGGCTGTCCACTGGACACGGGCCCTGCATGCAAATCAGGGCAGGCAGCGGGCCCAGGCACACAGCCAGTTTTCGGGGAACACGGAACACAGGGAGATACCCGATCCAGGCCCCAACTACGGGACCCTCTGCCCAGCAAATCCTGACCTGTCTCTGGGAACTGTAATGCAGTCTCCAACACCAGGCATCTCAAATGAGGGCATCTCAGGTTTACAGGTCCCAAAGAGGGGAGCCCCACTCCCAAAACTAACTTGGGGGGGGGCAGCTCATTCAGTTCAACAGGCACTTCCTGCCTGTCCCTTGGGGCTGGGCTAGGGAGGTGGTGGCAAAAGGGAGGGTACAGGGGAATCTCTGGCCTCATGGAGAGGCAAGACCACATGGGTGGAGAAAGGGCTGAGGTCAATGGTCATGGAGACGGGCCTGCCGGGGCACTCATGGTACCAGACAAGGTCACTGAGGTCTTGAGCAGGTGAGTGACCAGCCTGGGTCACACAGTACCCTCTAAGCCCTCTGGCAGGTCCTTAGTCCACTGAGGCCCTCAGTCTCTTCACTTGCCCAGGGGAGCATGGAACCCTGTCCCACATGCTATACTGCAGCTTCCAGCCGTTTTCACTCAGCTGAATACTCGCCTGTGGCCTCTCATCTCATCCAGGATGAAGTTTAAAGTCCTTAGCTGAGGCCTGCAGGGCTGACCTAAGTCCTGCTCCTGCCCCAGGTCTCAGCTCCTGCCAGCTCAGCCCGTCTGGGTGAGGACTCTTCCCTGCTGGGCCCGCACACCTCTAGTACAGCGGCCTCCCCGAGCGAGCTGGCCCGGCCCCCAGGTGTGCCGTCTTCCCAGCCAGGCTGTGAGCGCCACAGGGCAGACGTCAGCTCTGCTCCGGTGCCCACATAGGACCTAGCAGCCCACCCATGCCCGCCGGCAGGTGGCCACTGCAGCAGCACAGGGTGGGCCCCCACGCGCGTTACCTGCATAGCTGCCTGTGGCCTTGATGTACATCTGGCCGTACGGCTCCTCCACCATCGTGTCGTAGGCCTCATCGTCCTCCTCGTCCTCCTCATTGTGGTAGGAGGTGGGGCTGTCGGTGGTGGGCAGGCTGCTGGCCCCTGGACTGGTCCTCTCCCCCTGGGAGTAGGGCACCTGCTGGATGCTGGGGATGAGGGTGGCCAGGCTGGGCACCCCATAGTAGGAGACCCGGGGCAGCTTGAGAGGGGCCACGCCTGCCGCCACAGCAGCACCCGCTGCCACTGTCGCACCATCCCGGGGCCCCGTCTCCAGCGGGCGCTTAGACGCCAGGCCCGGGCCGGCGGCCGGCGGCAGCTCCATGGCTTCATGCTTCACGCGGGTCAGTAGCGGGATGGGCACGGAGGGGGACACGACGTAGGGGGGAGCGGCTGTGGCAGCGGCCGGCTGCAGCTGGTTGCAGGGGCTCTGGGGCTCGGAGCTGGCGTCCTCGATCATAGTGGTCTGCGAGTCGCAGTGGGGCGAGCTCACCTTGAACATGAGGTCTGTGCCGCGCTCCACGATGTGCTGGATCTGCAGGAAGCCGGCTGTGTACATGACCACGAGCTGCTCGCTGGCCGCCATGGTCAGCCTGCCCGTGTAGCAGAAGGACAGGATCTGCTGGAAGCAGGCGGGGGGCACCGTGCCCGGCAGCTCAAAGGCGCTCTTGCTGTTGCCGCTGAACAGGTCTCGGAAGTAGAGGCTGCTGGCGGCCAGGACGGCCCGGTGGGCCTTGAAGGCCTGGCCCTTGACCACAATGGACACATCACAGTAGAGGCCCAGCAGGCGCTGCTCGTTGAGGCAGCCGAGCACGGTGTTCCCGAAGTTGGGGATCTCGATGTGCAGCATCTGCGACATGGTGGGCAGGCGCCGGCGGGCACGTCTCAGACTCTCAGCGCGGGAGTGGCCCGAGCGGGCACATCTGTGGGAGAGAGGGCGTGGGGGACACACGGTCAGGTTCCCGGACGTCCAGCCGCCCACCCCCACAAAAGACTAAGGAAATGCGCCCCCCAAGCACCCCATGCCCTCCTCTACCCAGTTACGAGAAGCCCCAGTCGCATGCCCAGCCAGCAGGATGCCCCTCACCACCCCGGGGTACTCCCAGAGCCCCCCCAGCCAAGAGCTTGAGCCCACGGGGGCCGGGAGACACCCTGTCCTAAGAAGACAAGAAAGAGGCCTGCACGGCAGCGCGACGGGACCGGGCAGCTCAGCCCCGCGGCGCTGGGGAGGGGCGAGGGCGCAGGTAGACTCTTCTCCCAGGAAAAAGTTAGCAGCAAAGGAGCCCCTGGCAGCCTTTCCCCTGGGAGGGGCCAGAGCCCCGGGAGAGGGGGCAGGGCGCCCAGGGGGTCTTCAGGGGGTCTCCGGAGGCTTTAGCTTTCTGGTTTTTCCTCTTTGCCCTCAGAGCAACCACGCAGAGGGCCCGCAGGGGGGACTTCTGCCCCACTGGCTGGGGAGCCAGCCCCCTCATCCCCTCGTCCAGGGTAAGGGGTGGGGGCACCCCGGGAAGTGAGTTGAAGCTGGGAGAACTCAGGCGGGCTCTGAAAGTGCTCCGCCATCTCTGCTCCCTCTCCTGCAGAGATCTCCAGGGCTCGAGGGGCTCTGAGCTGCACAGGCTGCCCCGCCTGCGGCCCGGCTCCCCAGGTCCCTGAGCTGCCGTCAGGCACCCAGCGGCCAGACCAGCAGTTGGGAGCCTGTCGCAGCCCCACTTGCACGCCCTCCTGGTCCCCCAGCTTCCAACGCTGGCCAATCCCTGCTGGCTCGGTCCCAGCCCAGGTGACTAAAGGGGTCATGGGGACACTGGGGGGAGGGACCAGCAAGGGCGCCCCAGGGGCTGGGGCCGGGGCTCCAGCGCTGTTGATCTGCTGCCCCATTCAGAGAAGGGGGGCTGGGGACGGACAGGTCGGAGAAGGCGCCGACCCAACTCCGCGCAGCCGGCGCCCGCACAAAGGGCCGCTCTGTCCCACGGGAGGAAAGTGCAGGCGGCCGCAGAGGCGCCGTGCCGGCTGGCCTGGCGGAGGGAGGGCAGAGGGCGGAGCGCCTGGGACCCCAACCCCGGCTGGCCGACAGGAGTTGGGCAGGTGGGCGGCCGCTCCGGAGAGGGCCCGCAGTGCCCCCACTGCGGAGAAGTTGCTGGCCCGGCCAGGTGGCGCCGGCCAGCAGGGGAGACCTACCTTTGGCCGCTGCCGCTGGTGGCCCCGGCACTGCCCGCTCAGCCTGGCAGGGGCAGGCTTGCCCGCACGCCGGCCGCCCGCAGCCGCCAGCTGCTCCGGGAATGCAGCAAACGGAGAGGGAGCCCTTGGGGTGGGGAGGGCGCGAGGAGCCGGGAGAGGAGGAGGAGAAGGAGGAGGAGGAGGAGGAGGAGGGCAGAGAGGCTCCGCGCTGGGCTCAGCGGCCGCAGCTCAGCTGCACCCAGCCTGGCTCTCCGGGGCAGCGCACAGCATCTCAATGAAGAGGCCGGATGCAGACGGACATTCAGGCAGCTCTCGGGAATGAATAGCCGCCTTTGATTTGGGAGCCGAAGTAAATGCCAGCTCCCAGCCCCGGCTTTAAAAACAGTGGAGTGTTGGTGCCAGAGGAATGCACGCTCCGGGTGTCGGTACAAGACAGACTTTTGATGACTCACTGCAATGCAAACAAAGATGGCAGAAATACTGTACTGTACGTGGAGAAATGCTTCGTGGTGCCACGGCAACTGAGACAGCCAGGAAATTTATAGTGCAGTTTTGCATATGAATTACCCAGTAAACTGCCGCCCTGCCATCCAGTACAGCCGAGTGTCAAAGCATTTAAACTATTCCAAACAGTCTGCAGGGCTGGCAGAGCCGCCCAACTCCTCCAGGGTGGGCGGGGCAGGAGAAGGGGGGGGCAAGGGGGTCGGGCAACCCTGGATGAGGGAGGGGAGAGGGGAGACGAGAACATGAGGCAGAAGAGGAGAGAGCAAGTGGCTGGGGAGGAAGAGGCCCAGAGATGGACGGCAGGGCAGGGCCCACGGTGACCCGTCCTCTCTCCTTGGGGTCCCAAAGCAGCAGGCCCAGCGAGTCCAGCCCCAACATCCCATATCCCACTCGCCCAGGACAGTCATCCAGGTCAGCTCTTTTAAAAAAGAGTAACTTTGTGAGCACAACTGGGGCCTGTCCCACGGTAGCCGGCAACTAGGAGCTCCCAATGGACGTCCCCTGGATGGACCTGCCCCAGCAGAGGTGGCAGCAAAGGTACCATCCCCCAGGTAACGAAATGCGGCCGGGCTGCCCGTGCGGGGCGCACAGCCTCCGACCTCTATTGAGCCTCTCCTGGGGATGGGCCACAGCACCATGCACACTGCATGTCCCGCTACAGAGGATGGGCACCTCGGTCCAGGCTCACACCACTACCTGCTGGATTGTGGGGGCCTTAGGGCAAACCACTGGCCTGCCCAGCCTCGGTTCCCCCACCTGCCACCAACTGTGGCCCTGGGAAGGGCATAGGCAGCCCGCAAGAAGGGAGAGAGTTGAGACTGGAGATGGCCGAGGTCTGGTCCCCTGCAACGCCCAGCATGGCTGCCATCACCAGTGAACTAACCCTGGTGGCTGAAGCAGGGAAGAGGCGGGGGTGCCAGGCAGCACCCCCCTCTGTCCCCTCCAAGGCGTCCGGAGAGAAAGAAAGAGCCATCTGGCGCTCCCGATTCACACACCGTGGGCCCAGCTTCCGACACCAGATAAAAAGCCACTGAATGGGGAGCAGGAAGAAGTCCAGGTGTGGGAGCCGCCCGGTGAGCAGTGGCCGGCAGAGGATTCTCTGGAGGCGGCTTTGTGTCTCCTACACGGGGCTGGTGACAACTCGTGGGGTGACAGCAAGACAAGGACAGCGATAGGGATGTTGACAGAAATGGTCCCACTCGGCCACTCTGAGGCTCGGGGGCCCTGCGGGCGACAGCAGGAAGCGGCCGGGCTCCTTCCACTCGAGGCCCCAGGGCACTGCGGCCACCATCTCAGCACCAGCCAGGCTTCCATCTGGCTTGGTGATCGAGCGAGTCCAGACCTCGGCCCTCCCTTGCCTCTACCTGCCTGAGCTGAAAGCAGCGCGAAGCCAGTGCGGCCACAGCGGCCAAGCCCAGAGGTCAACAGCGTGAGCCAACACCCGGCACACTCGCGCCACGGCCCCCTCGTGGTGTCCTGTCTTCACCGCCCTCAGGAAGCTGCCTCCGGCCATGGACAGCCTTTGCCATTGCTAGGGCACTGCCACACCTCAGCCGCCCAGGGGCCGCAGCGGGCATCCACATGGATGCCTGTCTCCATGCCTCCCACCCCGGGCGGCCTCGCCAACTGGTCTTTATCCACACCCAGGAGGCCCAGCCCTGGGAAGCTCCTACCAAAAGCCCTGTCAGGCCCCCAGACTGCGCGGTGTCATCCTGGTGGTCCCCCTTTCCTGAGGCCTAGGAGGAGCCCAATGGCCCCAAGACGAGGGGACTGCAGCCTCAGGGTGGGGGTGGGGGCACAGCCCCACGTGCCTACCCAGCCACAAAGGAAGGCAGATGGGGGCACAGGCAGAACCAACGTGGATAAACAGAGGGACACCCAGAGGCCGAAAGATGTCGGGACCCGTGATGAGGAGGGGACAGGAGGGCAGGGGCCAACCCTGGCCTGGGTGAGGACTCGGGCCCCAGGGCCCCAGGCACACAGCCTTCCACTGTGCGCACCCTGGCCCTCCCAGGAAGAGAGCCTGCCAGGTGCCCCTCATGAGCTCAGAGAGGGTGGGACAGGTCTGCCCAATGCCTGGCGGGCATTTAACCGAATGCTGGGCACGGCTGCAGAGAACAGCAAGAGAGGGGCTGTGCTGCCCAGCGACATACAGTGCAGTGGACAGCGGTCCCCAAAACAGTCCCCTTCACAGACCCATAGCACCCACTGCCAGGAGCCTCCTAGAGAGCAAGGTGGGGTCACCTGGCCCGATGGAGGCTCTTGTGCCCTGAGAGGGGGTGACCCAGCCTCGCCAGGCAGAGACCAGCAAAGGTGCACTGTGCACCTGCCCCCAGAGGGTCCCAACTGCCCAGGGCTGGGCGGGTAGTGGTCAGATCCTAAACTGAGAGCACAGGACAAACCAAGGCCTGTAGGGCCTGGGCCCTCTCAGCACCACCCCCATGTGCCAGGCCCTGCCCCAGCCACTTCGCATCCACATCCTGTGGCCTCAAGCAAATGCCACCACACCTGGGACATTCATCTGTCAACGGGGTCAGGTTTACCCTCAGGCGGTTACCGTAGGGTCAATGGAGACGATATCAGTAAAGCCCTGGGTGTGAGCCTGGCACACAATGCTCCGGTAAGCTGCACCGCGATGACTCACCTGCCGAGACCTGGGGGAGAGGGCGATGGCCCGGGGTGGGGGAGGCTCTCCCTCAGCCACCAGCCCGCCTAGGCCCCCGTCCAGTTTCAGGGGCCTGCACCCCAGGGCTGAGGGCCAGATCGCTTGCCCAGAGAAGGGACCATGATTCCCCTGGTAGGTGACGAGCCTGCCTGGGTCCCCGGGGACCGAGGACGACTGGCACTGTGCCGTCGTGTCCTGAAGCCACCTGTGCAGGTGAGGCTGCGGCCCTGTGGCCCGGCCTGTGAGAGCCCGACGAAGGCTGGTTTTAGGTTGCTTTCTTAGAAGCCTCGCCGGGGCAAGAACAAAGCTGAACTTGAGGAGGAAAGAATAAAATAAAGGCTTGGTTTACGGACCCGGGCCATGAAAGCAGGACAAGCCTCAGGCCGACCCTTGTGCAGCGGCCAGAGAGAAGAGGGCCAGGGCCAGAGCGGGCCGAGGGGTGGCCATCTGCCGAGGAAGGGAGGCACCTCCTCGCCTTTCCCTGTGCAGTGGGGCCCAGCCTGCCGTGACCACCCTCTCCTCTCTGTGCCTCAGTTTCCCCACCTCCTGCTTCCCAGGCAGTGCCACCTATTCCATTTCCCCTCCACAGCGAGATTCGTGTGCCCATTCACTTATGGAAGGTTCTGAAGAGCCAGGCAGAATATCAGAGATCTCTAACTTTGTTCACCCCAGCCATCTTCAAAGCCACCGCACCACGGAACCCTCCCCCTCATAAAGCCCTTCAGAATGGAACCCCCTTTGGGAAGCCCCTGCTGACTCCACAAAGCCAGAGTCCAGCCCCTGTAGCTGTGCCAGCCTCGGAGGGGGAGGTCCCCCATCCACACAGACTCTGAGATCTCCCCCAGAATGAGAAAACGTGAGCAGCCAGGGGGTCTCTTCTCTGTGGACCCTCCCTCGGGGATGGCCAAAACCAGACCCTGGGGTTACAGGTTGTCAACCAGAGGCCTCCCAGCCCCCGTCCCCACAGGCAGCGCAGCCTGCAAGTAGACAGAAGGAGCCCAACGGGAAGGGGGCGGAGTACTGGCCCCAAGAGCTGCAGATGCGCCCGCACAGGGGCTGAGGGATCAGCAGGGGGTCAGAGTCCCATAGAAGCCCAGCTAGGACCTGCCCACTGCTCCCCACCCTTCCACACCCACCCCAGATCCTGAACGTCTTCCTGTGACAAGAGCATGGCTGGGAGGAGGAATGCGAGTCTGATTTCTGCAGGATCACCACCAGCAAGGGAAAGAAGGTGAGATCAACGAAATTAAATAAAATTATTGTGCAGGATTTAATTTAACCAACCTAATAAGAGGCTTGGACCTCGGCAAACGCACGACCATTAAACACACGCACGGTAGGGGAAGGAGGGAGGCAGGTGCACCAGGAAACATTCTGGCAGGAAGAAAAGGAACCCCTCTTGCCACCCCACCACCCCTGCCCACAGTCGGAGGCCGTCTCCACGGCAGCCCCACTGCCCAGCTGCCAAGCCCTGCCGTCTCGGGGGAAGCCAGCCTGGCAACAAGGACCCCTCCTAAAAGTCAAGGCGCTCCAGAGTTTGGGGCACAGCCCCCGGCCACATCCCCCAGGACGGTGTCTCACAGGGAGGAGGAGGTTCCTCTGTGAGTCAGCACAAACACACGTGAGCACACTGGGCATCGAGAATACCACCCGGCGGCTGCATGGAGGTGGCTATGGGAGGCTGTTAGGAGAGCGAGGGGGAGGGGCCTGCAGGAGGGAAGCTCACTCCCATCCTGTCCCCTGATGCTCTGGCGTGGCCGTGGAGCTCTGCTCCTATGAGGGGGCAGCCCGGAGGTTGACCCTTCAGGGCTCCAGGTGCCTGCTGGAAGCAAGGCTGCCCAGCTGGGAAAGGCCAGGTCCCCTGAGAGCTGGGGGAGGCACCACCCAGTTTGGGCCTCGGGTTTGCATTAAACTTTTAATACATCATAAAGCAGCCACAGGGCCTCGCTGCTAATGGAAG